ATCAACACCCACCGCCAACTCTTGAACTACTCTTTTACCAACGAATAGTGGGATTGACCGTCACAGTATAACGCCACCACAGCTAAAAGGTCGAGCATGTTTGGTGGGACAGGGATTCGAACCCGCGACCCTCAGATTGCTAGTCAAGCGTCCTAACCACTTGATGGCCATACCAGACCATCTAGTTTTGTATTTCGTCTTCAGTACCAACCCATTTTGTGTTTATATCATTTTCAGGCTTAAAGACAAGCAGAACTGTAAAATGAATCGATAGCCTGAAATCGATATTTTTTCGGGGCTTTCGTTTTTATATTCTGTAAGAGATTATTTTTGGGCTTTTTCTTAAAATTCTTCTCTGCTTCTTTATCTTGTATTTCATGACTTATTATAATTATATAATAATTATTTCCGAGTTAGTTTATCCGTAGCTGCCCTATCAACACAGTACCCAGAATCCTTGCTGGACTTGTTTAACTATCTGGACTGGGAAAGGGGTGAGAAACAGGGAACCTTTTCCAGTGGTTTACCTTTGTTTATCGGTTCATACCGAAAATAATAAGCCTTATTTATGCCTTTATTTATTTGTGTATTGTATAAAAAAACAAGACACTATATACTGTTAAAAACGTTATTATATCCCAACACAGGAGATTTGTTGTCGTGGCAACCTCATCCTGTAGAATTTACGACAAATAGCCCCCCCCCCTACCCCATACACACAGAATATTGTTGAGTTTTACTAGCGCCACACTTTTTACAACTTTGTCAGTTGTGTTGAATTGTTCCTAAAGCTTAGATGTTTTTATACGTTAAAAGCTTACAAAAGTGTGTTGGCACTAGACACAGTTTTTCATTGATGCATTTTTGATAGCTGTAAGGTCTGAATAAAAAAGGTCAAAGATCACGGACGTTTCTGCGGGAATCAACATCGGTATGGTGACTGGATGTAACCTATTTGCATCAGTGACCCGAAATTAGCAGCGAAAACATCAGGCAAAAACCAGTTTTTTTAATTTACTTAATGTTGTTTTAATTGGACGACTGCTTTTGGTGTGAGCTTGAACTTGTTATGGTCATTTCCTTTGTAATTCACATTGTACATTTATTCATATATTACACGTGATACATAACGTATAGGGTTAGCTAGCTGGTAAAATGTTAAGAGATTTAAGTTTCACAAAAATTGAGTTTAAAATATCTAACGTTCTTTACCCTAACAATTTTGCACAAACATTTTTTCTTGTTCACCGATTCTAAAGAACACCGATGATGGATCTTCTGGTGCAAGTGACAACATCCAATAAGATCAGTCCAGCAGGTCATGTGATCCAAATTCTCACGGACAGAGGAAAGATAATTCAATACAAACCCAACACTCCTATTGGATCGCTAGACTCCACCGTCATCTATATTGTGCCTAAAAGTTCTATCCTGCAACCAACAATAAAGAGAATGTCAAAAATTCCAAGTCAACCATTTGAGGTAAGTTCAGGCCAAATATAATAGATTATTCAGTTTTTTTTTGTTATTGTTATGAGGCTTTCTCTATTCTCCACTTTATATAATATTAAATTTGATTATTTTCGTTCTGTGTTAAATGTAATGAATAAAATTGAAGTTTGTGGCTATTTATTGAATATTCACCTTCTTTCTAGCCTTCGGAGGTACCGCTGAGCCATTAAGGGATTTAATTTAATAAACAATGGATTTTAAAACTTAACAATATTTCTATTTTTGTAGTTATGGTAAAGGTATTAAGACTATCTATCGCAATCCCTAATGTAGAACAAGTGACTAGATGTAAGGCAACCAACTAACTAGTAGGACCCTACCGCTCACCATTCACTGCCACTCTTATTATAATATTGTTGCGTCCTATTTTCTAGAAGTATCCTGTTCCTTCGTGAATGCCCTAGCATTTACTAGATATATGTTAGTCTGGTATAAGACGCTCACAACTGCAGTCAGAAAGTATTGTTGAAGTTAACGTTCGTTGTTAAAACGTTTGTTATAGAGCGACTGTTGAAAATAAGTGTATCGGTAAAGTTATATTCAGAAAGAATAAACCAGTTTTATTAAGTAAGGACTTGTGTCGCTAAAGTTTCGTCGGAACTAAGTTACGGAAAATTAATTAACAAACGGAGACGTAACAATATACTTAAAGTGAAGGGCATAGTCTGAAGGATTCAAAATCCAGAGGTCCACCACAGGGCCAATCCATGCCCTCAACTATAAACTAAATATTCCTTTTCAGAAAAACCTTATTTTAGTGTTATGTGCTTCTAAATTAAAGACTGTCAAATGTCTTTTGGTTAAAAATAAATAAATCATATATATATTTATAGAAAACAGAGTCCAAATATAATATAAAATAAGTTTCTCACCAAAGACAAAAAAAAAAGGGACAAATATCAAGTAATATGAGGTGATGTTACAGGAAGCTTTCGTGAGAAAATGATAATCTAAGCCACATAATTTCATTTCATACAACAGATAAATGTCGTTACTAAAGTACAGTTTGTTTGTTTCAGAATAAAGCCACATTGACTGAGCTATCTACCGTGTCTACCTCGGAGAATCGAATCCGGATTTAAGTGTTGTAAGTACACAAAGTACAGCTTGTACAATAACATATTCCATGGTCACAAAAATTTTATGTTTTTTTATTTGAGTTTCTGTTAAACTGTAAATGTTGCTGTTTGGTATTCTGCTCGTTTCATAACACCATAACGCTAAAAACTGGATTTCGATACCTGTGGTGGGCACAACACAGATAGCCCATTACGTACCTTTGTGCTTAACAACAAACAAACAAAATTATTAAATTTTACGTAGCCTTAACAGGTAAATGTTATACATCCTTTACCGAATAAGGGTCAAGATACATACATAACATGTTAAACTACGTTTACAGTACTTATATCGGGGTTTTGAGATCTTTTTTAACTCACCATATAGTAATCTAAATTAATCTGAGTGTGTGAATAATATGACGTTGCGCGTAATTAATTATTCGATTTTATACAACGGACCAACTCTTTAATGTATAGCTTTCTTTTCTTTTCACCAAAGGTAAAATAGAAAATATAATCCGATGTAGAGGTCTAATGCATTTTTTCATTTGTCGCATCCACTTCTGTGAACTGATGAGTTAATAATGACTCAAAAAACTCCATAACTATTATATACATTTCATCATTATAACAGGCCTAACTATATTTCTTTGATTTGCTGTGCTTATGAACCTTGAATAGGCTAAACTGCAGTCCACAGCAGAGGGTACTGCCAATCAAAGAATGCGTTAGGCCTCTACGTCACAAATTATATGTAACGAGACATTAAGAGGTGCTGTGTTTGTTTGTTTGTTTT